TCAAAGTGACAACCCCCTCCTCAATCCTTGCCCCCCCCGATATCATACATATCTATTACAATTCCATTGACTCCACTCCCACACTCCACTCCACGTCCCGTGACTATATAAATATTCAATTATAGTTAACATACAATATTGTACAACATCAGCTTTAATCGAAGTATTTTTTTCCACCTTAGCCTTACTTAGTTAACTTATCATGTGCTATTCATTAACTGTTTATTGTTAGTTGTCTAACTTTGACACTTGTTCTGCAGCTGAAATAGAAGAATAGTCATTATTTTTTTGAAAACAATTTTTTAAAATATAAATGTATGTATTCATTACAGAAAGTTTAGGAAGTATAAAAGGTCAAAAATCACACCATTTCTTTACCTACCGACAATCACTAATAATATTTTAACGTTTTCTTATATGTATATAGTTTTTTTAAATGTATATAGTTTTTATTTTGTTTTTTATAAAATCTGATCTTACTGTAGTCACCGTATTACATCCAGATTTATTATTTTTTATTATTCACTTAACATATTTATAACATTTTCTAAATTGGTGAATTTCTTGAAACATCATTTTAATGGCTGCATAATCTTCTATCATGTATATTATTGGACAGAAAGGTTGTTTCTTATTTTGCCACTATAGGTAATTAGGTGATTAGTATCTTCTTCATAAAGCATTTCTTGTATTTTGGAATTTTTCCTTATGGTCCTGACAGTAGGATTACTATACAATTTAAGGCTCTTAATATATATTATGACATGAGTTGTAGCAATTACTATGCTGCTGACAATATTCAAGAAAGCTAAATTTACTGTATCTCACCAATTTTTATTTCTGGGTTCTTAATTATTTCTCTATCAAAACGTTAAGTTGGATATGGTCACATGACATATGTACTTATTTCCTTTAATAGCAATAATTCCGCTTTTAATTTTTCATATAGCTAGGAGGGGTAGGTGCAGGGAAGGCTGTAGACCCTGGTTATGGAGTTAACTAGTTGGGAGCAAAATCTTTAGGGGAAAAGGAACTGTGGGAACCCTGATGCTCTTCCTTCAGCTCCAGATCAGAAAACATGAAGCTAGTTCACTGAGTTTTATTTAGAGAATGACCAGGACATTTGAGGAACCATGCCCTAAGAGAAGTGATTGAAAAAACTAAGAACTGTCTTCATATCCATGAAACACATACCATAAGGAAGAGAAGCTAGACTTCCTTTATGTTGTTGCAGAAGGTAGAAATAGTACCGATAGATATATGTTAAAGCGGTTAAGCTTAATGTTTACAACTACAGGAAACTAAACCAAGCTGCCTTTTAATTAGTGATTCCCCCCCACACACACATTATTAGCATTTAAGCTATGCATTCTGTGGTCTCTGCCAATTCCTAAGTTCTTCTCTTAGTGTTCAAACTTGCCGTGTAAAGAGGAGAAAGAATTATGGTAATTTATCTCAATTGTGTGTGACTTCTTTAAGTTTAAGGGAATTTGTGGGGCGGCACAAAGATTTGTTTGAACTGACTGGCTTTGCTAAACTACTATAGGTACTAGCGAATATAAAAAGAGGCTGTAGATAAAATTCAGGGATATAGTCTCTGATGATAAAGTCTTCCATTGTTTTTATCCATTTGTGGTAATAGTGGAAAGTTATTTAAAATGAGTTGAGGAAAGAAATCCGATGAGTTGGGCTATCTCTTTGAAGGAAAGGAAGGCTTTACTGAGTACCTAAAACAAACAAAAAAACCTTGTTTCCCTAGTACTGATAATTTTCTGAAGGAAATTAAAATTTTTTTTCCTAGTTGGTTTATTGTGTTGTTCAGGCCTCTGTTTCCTTACTTATCTTCTGTCTGGCTGTTCTAGCCATTATTTAGATTGGGGATATTGAAGTTTCCAAGTATTGTAGAACTATCGCTTTCTTCCTTGAATTCTGTTACATTTCTTTCAGGGAAGGTCTGATAATGAATTCTCCCAGTGTTTGTGTGGCTGTGAAGGTCTTTATTTCCCTTTCACTTTTGAAGGGTGATTCACCGGATGTAGGCGGACACCTCGCGGCTGCTGGGGGAACCACCTGGCCCTGGGGATGTGCAGTGGAATGGCTGCTTTGGGTTGCTGTAGGCTTGGACCTTGGGGGGCATTGGGTTGGGGTCCTGGAGGTTCCCGCCACAGCCCGTGTAGTGAGGAAAAGCATATTGAGACTAAAGATAGAGTTCACCTGCATAAAATATGTGTATGTAGTGGGGAGTGGAAAGGGAAGAAAGAGATGGACATTTTTAAGACTCCAGAAGGGACTTTAAAAATCTCTAGGATAGGGTGCTAAATATTTTGGTAATTGCTCTTTGAGACAAAACAGTTGTTCTAAAATATGTTGTTTATAGGGAGATTGGCGGACGGCTTCTCATGGTAGAAACTCGGCTCCCAAAAGATCTAGCTGAGTTTGAGGGAGACTTTTCCTTGGAAGGACTTCATCTATGGAAAACAGCATTCTCAGCAATGACTCAGACTCCAAGACCAGGGTCACCCCTTCGCAATGGCCAAGCATTTGTCAATAAAGGGTTAAGTAATAGCCATAAAATGGTTGAAGATAAAAAAATTGTGATTATGCCTTGCAAATGTGCCCCAAGTCGACAACTGGTTCAAGCATGGCTTCAAGCCAAAGAAGAATACGACCGTTCCAAGAAACTGTCTAAAACTGAGCCAACTGGAGTTGTAAAATCTGCTGAGAACTTTAGCTCTTTAGTTAACCCAGATGACAAACCTGTAGTGCCTCCAAAAATGGATACAACTCCACAGATACTGCCCACTGCAGCACATACCAAGGAAGATGTTGATAATTCTCAGATTGCTTTACAAGTGCCAACCACAGAGTACAGTCAAACTGCAGGTGGAAGTCAGACGCTGTCACCAGTTGCTTCTGCAAATGATCCTGACGAAGATGATGATGATGACTATTATTTTAATTGTAGCTCCCCTGATTCTCCAATAATTCCACCTTGGCAACAAGTAGCATCCTCAGATTCCAAAACATTGAATGGAGATGACAGACCCTCATCACCAATAGAGGAACTATGTTCCCTGACTGTTGAGAACTTCTTAACAATAAAAACAGTAAAAGAGGGTGTACAGAAAAGCCCCTGCAGTGAGCCTCGGGAACCTCTAGTGGTATCTCCCATTAATGTGAAGGCAAGAACTGGGATATGTGAATCACGTTGCCTTCATAGTACACCAATCATACAGAGAAAACGTCTGGAAAGGCTTCCTGAAGCAGCTGGCTTTAGCCCTTTATCAACAGGTAAGTTAATCAATAATAGACTCCATAATTGTTCTTCAAAGAGTAGAAATGAAAACAACATTTAGACTATGTTAATGAAAATAAGAGCTTTTTAAATGAAATTTTAGCTCAGCTAATGAGTATTGTTATTTTATCATGTCTTGGAAAGACATCATCACATGAAAACTTTTATCTTTCTGCTGTGAAATCTACTGACATCTGCTTTCGTCTTATCTTCTGGGTGAACTATAGGAGCCCTCTGAGAAACCTTACCGTCTTCTCAACTTGATATTTCCCATTCCCACTCTCCCATTAATATATACCCAGCTCTCTCCCACCTTTTAAAATAGAAACAAAGCCAAACAACTGCTTTGACCTTACATCTGCCAGCTTCTACTCTTCTATCTCTCCTCAAAGCCAAATTCCTCGAAAGATTTTTCTAATTTGACAACTCCATTTCTTTACCTCCTCATCATTTCTCAGCCTGCTCTGAACTGGATTCTGCTCCCCACCATTTCACCAGTACATCTCTTGCAAAGGATTCAGTCCCCTTCATGGAGCTAAAGCCAGTGGATGCTTTTCAGTCTTTCTATCAAATGCCCTCTGAGCAGCCATTGTCCTGTCGTCCACACCTTCCTTCTTGGAGCTGCTGCTACCTTGACTTTTCTCTTCCTACTCTGTTTCTTCTACTGGCTTTCCTTTATCTCACATGCTCAGTTATTATCTAAATGTCAGGATTTATTAAGACTTAGCCTTCTTTACTCTATATTCTCTCCTTAAATGATCTAATTCCTGCCCACATGATTTCTACATATAACACAAATTTAAATTTCCATTCACAACTCTCTTTTAAGCTTCAGAACACTGTATACAGCTGCCTATTTGGCATTTCTACTTGAATGCTCAAAGGCACCAAAGGTCAATATTTTTTAAACTCAATTCATGATCTCACTGTATACATTCACCAGCCAACCACCCAATACTCACATGCGCACACACAGAAACCCACCTGGCCCTCTTGCAGTTTCACTTCAACGAATAGTACAACCATCCCTGTCATGGAGTTACACAGGTCAGACACGTGGGATTTATTTGTAACACCCACATGATTCACTCACTGCCCATCCTGTGGTTTTCAGTCCATTACCAAGTGCTGTCACGTTGTCATAGCTCACTTGGTCATCTACCCTAGCCGCCTTAACCACCTGTAGCACTTTCCAGGCCTTTTGCTCACTAATCTGTTTAATTATTGATTCCTTGTTAATTACTACCCTCTCTTCCTGTTTAGCTCAAAAAAGCCCTTCTAGCCTCCCCGACTATAAAAATTCCCAATTATATTCCCTTTTGTTGTGTTTACTCCAGTTATAATTTTACTTTTCTATATGTATTTGATGAATATCTGATTCTCTCTGGACTCCATGAGGGTGTAGACTGTGTCTTTTCCTCATCATAAATACTTGATAAAGAACTGAATAAAATGAATTAAATAATTCCCTAAGATATTGACTGAGGAATAAAACAATAATTTAAATCTAAATGTTTTTTTAAATGTTATTTAAAAATAAAAAATTTTAAAGTTATTTTGGTGGGGATCAGAAGTTTGAATTGAATTACTTTCACTTATGAAGTCTTTGGGGAGAACTTATAGGATAATACAAATAGTACTTAAGAGTTTACAATAACAAAAAATTAGAAAAAAGAAGTAGGTAATTTTGATGTCTATGTTAAATATGAAATTTCTTTCTACAGAACCAAAAACCCAGAAACTGAGTCATAAGAAAGGAAGTAATATTGATACTCGTAGAAGAGTATTTTTAACACAAGCAAAGGTAATTATGCTAATCATATTTAAAAATCAGTGGAAGATCCATTCTTAGATTTCGGTTAGAAAATTGGTAACTTTGTCTCAATTTAAAAAACTATTATACTTTTGCATCATTTTATTTACATATCTTTGAGACAACAAGAAATTGCCTAATTTTTTTTTAGGTTTTTTTTTTGTGTTGGGATCTAAGAGATTCTTATATGTAAATACAAATATTACAGAGAAAGTGAATATGATAGCCAATATGTGGATTATGAGGATACAAATACATTAACTGATAACTGGCAAAATCAGAACAGTCCAATGACAGCAGAGCTCAAGTAAGTGATTTTTGATCCCACCAAAAGTATATCCTTTTTCTTGGTTTATTTTTTCTTAAATATAACGTAATTGATTTTTTTCAGTTTATCTTACTAAGTAACAAAGGAGAACAACATTATTTACTATTGAAACTTTGAAAAATCATACATAAATATCTATTCACATAAAAATATGGTAAAACAAAACATATGATTATGTGAAAAAAGTATACATTAGACATGTATCCTTGGAAATATATAATAGAAATCACTTCCATATTGTCCACTTCTCATAAATATTATGAACTACGTATAGTAGTTTAGTATTTCTACTTTGAGATTGTAAATACATTTTTAAAACTTTTATTTTTAAAGCAGTACTATTGTTGATTTATAAGTCATTTATATTAAAAACAAATACTAGTGTATTGTTAACATAAATCAACATTTTTGGGAAAATGGTTAATGGATTTGGAAATCAGAAAAAAAATATTTTTTAAAAGTAGAGTCTATTCTTTCTAAATCCTTGAAGATTATTTGTTTTAATTCGTCTTTCACACTCATGTTGTGTTAGTGTAAAATGCAAGTCAGAATTTCAAATCTTTTACAAACTTTAGCCAAAGTCATTACAAATACATTGCTTGCTTGCTTGTCATACTTCCAAGAATGGTCAAGATAAATGTCCACGCGGTATAAATGTCAGGTCCAACAGGACTGTTATTTTCAGTATTTGGGGCTTGTAAACTCAAAGATCAACATATGGCTTGCTTATAGATTATATCAGATACTTCTACATGTATTTAGTTCTGGTACCTTGAATTACTAGCATGAAAGGAATGTTAATAAAATACTTATGGCTTCTTTTTGAACTTAAAGAGATATTAGTTTATCACATATTATTAAAACATTATCTAAGTAGGAATAATAAATCAAAAGAAAAAATGATTGCTCATTTATCTTTTTCTGGCTATGTGTTTTTGTTTTTGTTTTTTTAATAGAATCAATTTGCTGCAGTAAATACTCCAAAGAAAGAAACTTCTCAGATTGATGGACCATCTTTAAACAATACTTACGGTTTCAAAGTCAGCATACAAAATTTACAGGAGGCAAAAGCTTTACATGAGGTAAAACTGCAACAGTAAGGACACATACACTGTTTAACTCTTGTCTTTATTCTGTGGAACAAGTGTGGAAAGTTTTTACTGCGCGAGTAATACACTGAATTCTATACCTGTTAATCTTCATTTTGTTCTGATTATTCTTAGTATTTAATGTATTCATGTATTTATATAAAACAAGAGGAACTTTTAAAGCAACCATCAGTTACTGAGACTGCTTTGTGGTTTCACAATTTCCACAAATCTTATAAAACTAAAACACAGTTTATAAAAGCTAAAATTAGAAAATATTTTTTAACTATTAGAAAATCTCTCTCGTTATTTTCGGATTGTTATATTAGGATGTTATATCACATCCCAACTGTGATACTTACTTGTATTTTCTATTTGGTTGGCTCAGTGGATTAATGCTTGCTACAATTCTCTATATAACCCACATATTCTCCATGTAACCCAGTTACCTTCACTGCACAGACTATAAGAAAGACTTGGAAGCTGTCTTTAAAAATTTGCATCGGTCACAGGACACAGGGGAGCATATGTGTGAATGGGTTACCGTAAATTTATCTCTATTAAAGAAAACACAACTCAAAGCATATATCTGACTGGCAATAAGGTAGAAATTAGAGTATGTTCTCATTGTTTATACCTGTGCTATCAGTAGGGTAGCCATTAGCAATGTGGCTATTGATAACTTAACATTTGGCTTATATGCCTAAGAACTAAATTTTAAATTTTATTAAATTTTAAAAGTGATACTAGACTTATTAGAAAACTTTTAAGTATGTTTGAAACAACTTAGATATATAAAACTACTTTTTCAATTGTAAAATTTATATCTAAATACAGATATAGTATTTCTATAAAAACTTAGCTCATTAGTAACTTTACATTGATGAGATGTTGAAAGAGTAATATGTTAGAGATATTGGATTAATGAAAATATTTTAAAATCAATTTAATGTATTTTTACTTTCTTTAAATGTGACTACTAGAAAATTTAAAATTACATGTGTGACTTTCATTATATTTTTATTGGACAATGCTGGTTTATACAGTCATTTTATGTTTTTGCACTTAGAGAATTCAACTTTTCATTTTTTGTTGTTTTGCTCTCAAGTCAGCTCTGTCTTAAACTGTTCTAAGGATTGGACAAGCATAGGCTAAAAAAACTTTAAATAATGTCTTCGTTTTACTCTAAATTTTAACTAAGAGTTATACTTTTTTAGAATTACATTGGAACATAGCCCAACTCCCTAATTATTTACTTGTGCATATTTTCATTCAACAAAATTCATTTAGTTCCTGCTTTATACCTAGCCCTGTGATATCCCCTGTATCCAAGATGAATTAAGTAATAAACTCAGGAATACATTTCTTATCAAGCACATATCTGAAATTAGAAAATTAAAGAAAATACTTTGTTAAAAATGTGTTGATTAAAGCAAATTTGATAGACCTTAGCAAAAAGATTTGTTACCTTTGATTACTCTTAATATTATTTGAAAATATAAATTTATTCTTATACTGTTACTTTATTCTATGTAACCCCATTTCAGACTCATGGGTCTTCTTGAAGTGGAAATCACTTCCAAGGTCTGGCAGGTTGCTAAGAGCTTCTCCCTAACACAGGCTTTCTTAATCTCAAGTCACACTCCAAACAGCCACCTCGTGGTCAAATAGGGAATGAACCAAAAAAAATATGCACTGTGTTCTATTCCTTTTTCCCAGAAATTGTGCCCAGAGCAATTTTCTTCTGTCTCCCATTACCCTGGGCTAATCTCTCTACTTCACATGCAGAAGAAAGAAGTTGTAATCCCTGTCCCCCTTTCTCACCTACCTCTTTCCTAGTCACATTCAGTAAATCTGTCTCTTCATTTCCATGTTTGCAAAAAAAAATCCCTAAGATTCAGTAATGCATTTTATATCAAGGAATAGAAGGGCAAAATTTGAGTGTGAAATTTGGCCTAGTAAATAAATAATTCAACTCTCAAAACTCTTTTGACCTGAAATTGTCTTCAGTCTTCTTCATAGTCTTTCTACATGTTCATCTTTTTCTAGTTAAACTGGTTTTTTGGTTTTGTTTTGCTTGGGTTTTGGGAAAGGTTTTCCATTTTACATTTTTGTATTTACTAGATTAATACATGCTTATTGATTTAAAAAAGATCAAACAGTCCTAAAGAGTATACATTTAAAAATAAAAGTTCTTTCCCTGAGCTCCCCCTAATGGTTTTATTTTTTTAATCTTATTTGTTTTGTGTTTTTATTTTTACTAGAAATAGCAACATATATTTCCTAAGGAAAGTGGTAGATTTGTGGATATTGGTTATGCCTTTACATGCATAATTCATGTTTTTTTATTTTTTTAAATACTTATTAACAAATTTAATGAATGTATGCAGTATTACATGTACATGGTAAAACATTCAATCAGGACAAAAAGATTTACAATGAAAAATAAGTTTCCCTTTCACCCTGCACTAAAGAGTCTCCTTCCCCACAAGCAATAAGCAGGCCTATGTTTTTTATGTCTCTGCAGAAATTTTCTATGCATGTGCTTAACCTTTTTTGCATACATAGAAGTACTCTCTGGTTCCATTTATCAATGTATTATGGTGATCTTTCCATATTAGGACATATAGATCTGGCTCATTGTTTTGAAAATGTTAAAGGTTACAGAGTATTCCATTGTATGTAGCCTTTATGAATACCACATAATTAACTTGTCCCGAACTGATAAGACATTTAGATTTTTAGTGTTTTATAGTTTATAGAAACTGGAAATATAATCTTTATTGAACATTCTTGTGCATGTAATTTGGCTATTTGTATATCTGCACGATATAGTCTCAGAAGTAAAATTGCTAGATCAAAGGCTATGTCCATTTTTAATTTTGATATATTTCTAAATTGTCCTCCATAGAGATTTACCAAATTCTAGTCCCATCACTAGCAAGAGCTTTGCATTTATATTTCTTCATTAGTTGGCATGCAAGATAAATACAAAATACAAAAACTTTATTAAATTTATATGATCTGAATAATTACCAATATTGTAACAGTAGTCTGCTGGTTTTCATTGCCAGATATAGGTACATTGCTGGTACAATGATGGCTAGAATTCTAGCGATAATCATCAATCCAATCTATATTTTATTTTTCTTACCCCGAGTTTTTACTTACAGTATCTTGATTTCAGAAAGAGAACTAAGGATTACTGTTAAGAGTTTTTATTAGCATAGGAAAATAAGTTTAAAAAGAAAAATACTACATTTTTTGCATGATATGTCAAAGAGAAAACATATATGGGCAAAAAT